ACACACACACACACACACACACACACACATTCACGTTTGCACAGCTATCCAATTGGGGACATTTCATTGACTTCCATTACATTTCTACAGCCTAACCCTGACCACAAACCCTAAGACTAACCTCACAGGTCACCTGACCCTAAAACTAACCTAAACTCAGTTCATACCTTGGTCCTAAACCCAACCCCCAACCCACCAGTGGCATTTAAACCAAACAGGGACTTGACCTTTGTCTCCAAATGCACCAGTAGTCCCCAAATGACAGGTGTGTGAGCTGGTTCAAGTCCCCAAAAGTGACTCAATCAAACCCACACACACACACACACACAGACAGACACACACACACACACAAATATGCACACAAAGACCGTGAATGGGCGTGTCTGTTGGCAGCTCTAAAACACATCAGTCTTTTTAAACTCATGATTTATGCATCAGGATGTTAAATATGATTGACGGACACTTTATCAGATTATGAGGATTTTTCATTTTTCTAAAATTCCAGCAGATTTTTCAGATACTGATTTATAATATTTARATTTCTTTCAATAAAAATTAAACAAGCACCTGCTTAAAAGTGGTACTGTGCAAAAGTCTTGAGTTGTCTCACGTCCTGCACCGGAGTGTGTCATGAGTCAGTGAATGGAATTCAATGAAACTCTCAGAAAGTGATCTTTCAGGAGAACACACGTCTAACTGAACTCAGCAAACAGGGGAATGGCCGTAACTTTGTCTGTTTTACAGACATGCAGCTAAAWTCTGACTGTCGTTGAGAGTCCTCCTCAACACTTGTTCACGGTTAAATGTTCCTTCGTTGTCACAAAATGAGTTTAGAGTCAAACTCTGCAGGTGGCGGGTGCGATGCATTCCTGTAAGGGACTCTGCTGCTGCGTCTTTAATTCTTTTACYTTTTCATCCACTGAGTCAGACTTTTAATCCTTTAAAGTGATTTAATTATTGGTTTTTCAGACTTTCAGAAAACGTTTCCAAGTTTTTCATCAAACTTTGGCTGCTTTTGTTTCTTACTCATGCTGAGTCCAGGTTCCAAATTAATTGTTTTAGTTGTTTGTTAAATCGTTTAACTCTCATATGAATCATTCAGACACGTATAAAAAAAACCCTCCTGAACTCAAGGGATGAACTCAGTGCTGCGTCGACACACGACAGATAATTTCAAATTGGATTTTAGGACTTGTTATTACATGAAGACACAGTTAGGCTATAACTTGTATTTTAGCACCATTATGATGCTTAAGCAAGATATCAGCTGAAAGTTTACATAATCAGCTGAAGGAAGCTCTATGCTGTCATGTTCAGGTGCAAGAACTGGACTAAAACATGAGTAATAAAGCAGCCAAAGTCTAAAAGAACAGCTTTCAGAAAGCCCAAATATAATAAACTGTAATTCTGTAAACTTTAAAACGTCTGATGAAGATGCTCAGAAATGTTGAGAGACGACCTCAGCGGGGAAAACTGTTTGAGCCAGGAGGGAGCGGAAACATTGCAGATCACACGAGGCTCCCTCGGTGCCAAACATCAGCACGTTTTTTTTTTCTCTCCTCCCGGCTTGTTAAGAAAAAAATGAAAGCAGTCTCTTGGTAAGGTTTGGAAGGATCCGACCCATATGTTCTCAATTACCTCCCTCTGGCCCACATTGTCAGTCTGGTATTTCCTCCATCAATCCTTCCCTCCCCCTATAGCTTCTTTGCTTCAAGTCATCTCATGAATTCTCCCCTCAACTATTTCACTATCAGTGAATCCCTTTAACAACCGGCGGTTAGAGCTGGACTTTAAAAAAAAAGGTGCTTCTGTCTATTAAAACGAGGATAAAACACTGCTGCATGCACGCAGCTCGCAACCTTTGGTTTTGTCTTGCAATAAAGACAAAATCTGTAAGAATAAAACCAAAATAATGGAGATCAATGAGGTTTTGAGGAAGCAGCCCCKCTTTTTCTGGAGTTCTATCCCTCAAAGTGGAAACATTAATTCTTCTTTTTGTTCTATTCATAAAACCCATATATTTCACTTAACCTTTAGGTTTTGTCTGAACCGTGAGAAAATTTGTTCACACTCATGATTTTTTCTTCTTTTGCTGAACCCCTCGGCCACAAATCCAGCTGACTCGGAGGCCTGCGTGCCCTAAAATTGAATCACCATCTGATTAAGTCCCGTCTCTCTACAGTTAACTGGAAGTGTCTTTGTTCGGTGCCCCCGCACTCCTGACCCCGACTGTGACTGAACAGAACCCAGGCAGGGACAGGAAGCTCAAGAAGTGCCCGCGTAGATTTTTTTTATGTCGTGCTGTGAAGATGTTTTTTTTTAATTGTGTGATTGACAGTAACTCATGCTTTACATGGGCATGAAGGAACTGCTGCAGACTCGTTCGAATGTGTGAGTCATGTTCTTTTAAACACCCCCACGGATCGATTCGAACCGCACCGCGTCCCCCAATTAAACCACTAGCTTGATGAGTTTCATAAAAGACAAGCAGATGAAGATGCTAAACGGACGTGTACAGTTTGAAACAAACCAAATGACTCAGCCGTGGACGGAAAGATGAGGGCATGAAAAGAAAGAGAGAGAAATCTCTTTAATTGGAGTGGATTGACAGCGAGACGCATGGCTCCCTCCAGACCATTAGGGAGGCCCGGGCGGAGAGGGTTTGTTCCCAGGAGGAGAGCGCTTGTCTTCTGCTCAGCCATGGGGAAGAATCTGGCAGGACCACTGATGAGCGGAGAGAAGCCAGGGGACAAGATGGACCCCATTGTCCTAGAGAGACAACAACCTGAGAAGCTGAGGACAAAAGATGGAGCTGGTGTACTCCAGTCCTGGTCCTCGAGGACCACTGTCCTGGATGTTTCTCTGCTCCAACACCTGATTCTGATTGAATCGCCTCTACAAGTTCAACAGAAACTTGTTAATCATCCATTCATTTAGATCAGGCATTGCAGCAGAGACTCGTCTAAAATGTGCAGAGGCCCTCGAGGACCAGGACTGGACGGTGTGGATCAGGGGCGTCAAACTCATTTTCACTTAGGACCACACGAGCATTATAGCTCAATTAACTTTCATGTTTAACTTRGACTAAACACATAGCTGCAGCTGAGCACCGCTAACAAACTGAGCTCTACCTGGTGTTTCCTGCATAGAAACAGCGTTTTTAACACGTCCGCTTATAAACACTGAAAAGTACCACATGTTCGACGGACTAAATGTGAAATAAATTAAAGTGAAGTTGAGTTGTGATCAGTAGTTAATGTCTTGAATCTTGAACTCTTCCACTTTCCAACCGGGAATTCCCAGTTTAAATTTCTAACTTGTATATGGGAAATTCCCACTTCCCAGCGCTAACTGCAAAAAGTATACAACAAAAATGCAGTGAAATTTAGATTTTACACGAGAAATTACACCGGCTACTATATTCAACCTGTGCACCTCCATCTAGTTGTGGGATGTGGTCATTCCACAGGTAAAATAATCAACATGCATTATGGGAAATGTAGGTTTTGGTCAATGCTGGCTTTAAAGCACATTACTACATCTTGAAGCTGTTGCAGGCCTCATAATATGCCTTTACAGGCCACATTTGACCCGCAGGCCTTGTGTTTGACATATTGTGTGCATTTTTTGTGATTAAAGACAAAGTAAATCCTAAAAGTTTTTAAAATCAATTCACTTCAATTCATAAATGAATAAGTTTTGCTTCCCATCTAGTYAGTTTTAAAGTGCCTGTGACATAAAWTTTTTGTAATAAACTTGAATGCATTTTTGGAAAGATAKCATTGATAACATATTGKAAAACAAATTTCACGTCGCTCAGGTGAACGGTTGTTGAGATATTGGCATGTGAAGAAACAGGAAGTGATGTCAAAGGGGAATGTCTGCATGTAAARAGAGCGTTAMTACAAAAGCTAACACAGACTGTAGAGTTCTGAMGTTTCTTTAGATTATTTTCAGTTGCTATCAAAAAAGATGAAGAACAGTTAAATAATTTTGTTTTAATAAACAGAGACCAGCGAGTTTATTTTATTAATGAGTTCCCCTTTGATGTCACTTCCTGTTTCACTTTGGCTGAGCCAAATTTAAAAGAAAATAGGCCGGTTATTTGACAAAATGGGTAAAATRGTGTGTACTGTATCAATTTTCTTAAGTGTAAAGATGTTTTCTTTGACTTTTTGTAGTTGAAGGATAAGCCTGTCACAGGCACTTTAAACTGCAAAAGCTGATCCGTTTATCAACCCCCACCCTCCCTCCCTCCTGAGGGTCATTAGGGTCTTTGTATCCAAGCTCAGGTAGGAAATATTTTGGTCACATGCATAAAGGTGTAATTTTGGGTGAAAATTACTGAAAACATCCCCTAGTGTGAGCTAAAAACAAAYACCCTAATGACCCTCAGGAGGAAYGGGAGTGAGATTAATCTGCATGTAAATTTAGCTGCCAAAATGGAGCATGGAGCAGCAGAACAGTCCTGATGCTTTGAAACGTTTACGATAGAAGATGGAGAAGATGACAGACAGGATGAGACCAGAGGACCTGGAAAAAGGGGCAAGGAAGACACTCTGAAGTCGTAAGAGGAAAAAGGACTCAGGAAACGAGAGAGAAAGAAGGGAAGAGAAAAAGTGAGGAGGGTGGGAGGGACGGTCATGTCGGGAGGACTGGATAAGAAGGGGAGGAAGAAAACAGGAAGAGAGTTATAATGCTGCTGTCGTCTCTGTTTCCTGTGTCCCTCGAGTGAGCTCTCCTGATTGGTCGGTGAAGGGGCTGGGGGGGAAGTTTATATCACGGCTCATTCTTCTGGAAAGAGACAGTGGAGTATCGGAGGATCCTGCTCCGATAAGGAGGGGGGGGCAGAGGAGGACAACATGAGCAGGACCTGCAGCAGGTTGCAGCCTGTTGCTCCTGCATAATAAAGCTCAAASTGTCAATAAAAATCACATTATTAAGACAAATTAAAATATAATTCATTCTTGCTGACATTTGCCTTCGAATCAAGCACGTTTTTCAGTTCATTTCTTGTTTTTTAATCCCTGTTTCTTCATTGACGTGTTTTTTTTATCCTCATTTCTCTCAGGGAAATCCTGCTGCCTGTTCTACTTTCCTTGATTGATTGCACTTTTTAGGAGCGAGGCTTTTAAATAAAGTGTTTTACACATCTGCTGTAACTTTTTTTCCCTCTTTTGTTTGCTGAAACAGTTTTAAATTTAGCTATGTGATGGGCTTACCTGATTGTTTTTGTTGTTTAGAAGCTTGTAAGTTAGAATAAACAAATGTAACATTAACGCATGTAATTAACGCTGAGAAACGATGCAGTTATAGTTGTCTAAAAAAACGTTTTTTTCTGGTTTCAGGTGGGCGATAAGGTGATGGCGCTGAGCCGCTTCGGGATGTGGCAGGAGGTGGCCGTGGTCCCAGCCAGCCACACCTTCCTCATCCCAGAGGGGATGAGCTTTGAGGAGGCAGCAGCTTTCCCCGTCAACTACATCACCGCCTACATGATGCTGTTTGACTTCGGCAACCTCCGGCCCAACCAGAGCGTCCTGGTCCACGCCGCCGCAGGTACACCGACGATCCCGCTCTTTGTCTGAGTTGTGTTTTGGCMTTTCGCTCTCTGCTTGCGCTGCTGCACCTGCCAGCTGGGCTGTGAGGTCAAAGGTCAGAGTGAGTGGAAAGACGGGGACGGAGAACGGAGAGGCACCTGTTTTGGGGCGTGAGAGCCGTTAGTGATCCGTGCTTACAGAGTCAGGCCAGCTGGAAGGAGCAGCAGAGCTTTAGCCAAAGATTATTATTCCCAATCTCTACACCCTCCGTCTGTCGGTCCCACGTCTCCTGAGCAGGAGGATCGAGGAAGGGATTCTCTACGTTTGGGACAGAATGTGGGCGGAAAAAGTAATGAGATCCGGACATTTTTTTATTTTTATTTTTTTGCAGAGAGCTTTGGGAGTGAGTTGCTCCAGGTGCATGTTTAGATTCAAATGGATGGGATGAATAAATTTGTAACAGATTGTAGTTTTATCTGCCTCCACCCAGTTGACGTCTCGCAAGGTTGAGGAAGATTTTGGTGGATTAAGACGCTTTTCTCTATGAGTTATCGCCAAGAGGTGGAGCAGGAACGTCTTTGCACGTCTGCTCGGGTGTTGGTTTGTAAAACAGCATGTGAACACGTTTTATCAGCTGCTTTTAGAACGCAAAGTATGAGCATCCAGGAGTTCTAGCATTCCCATTGTTGAGATTTTTATGATTTTATCATTATTTTATGTATTTTTTTCTTCCGTATGTTTTTCAGTACGTCTTTCATTCCACAGTTTTTGTTCTTTTTCAATAATTCATACATCAAAACGTTCAGCTCCTTCAAGACATTCAAACTATGACTTTTGGTGTTTCAGCAGTTTATATTTTTTGAGATATTTAGCTTTTTTGGCCATTTTTATTCTCCTTTAAAATTAATGGAGCTGCCTTCAACATCCTTAAAACCCTTCAAACTAGTTAAACTTTTTTACACCTTTAATTCTGGTTCTGATTTTTTTTAACTTCTTTGTTTTTTTAGCTTCCTTCAGCTTTAACTTTGCTAATATTCGCTTTTTTCCTATTTTTCATCTGTCTTTCTGCTGTTTTTGTTGCTGCTAATTCAAGCTCCAGTTGGTTTCTGTAATTTAAGCTACTTTGTAGCTATTTTCAGCTAATGTTAGCCTTTTTAGCTAAAGTCACCTTTTTGTGATAATTTTTAACCACTTCTTTCAACTGCAAAATTCAGCAAATGCACTCTTTGATTCAGTTTTTTCAGATATTTTTTCAGCTTATTTTGTTTTTTTATTAGCTTTTTAGCTATCTCTCTGTTTTTCTTTCAGACATTCTACTAATTTAACTTCTTTGAGCTTCAGCTTCTTTCTGCTTTCTATGTTTCTTTCAGTTGTTTCCTGCAATTTATGCTACCTTTTAGCTATTTTCAGCTAACGTTAGCCTTTTTTGTGATCATTTTAGCCATGTCTTTCAGCTGCATAATTGAGCAAACATGCTCTTTCTGATTCTTTGTACTAGATTTAGGTTTTTCAGCTACTTTTCTGTTATTTTTCAGCTTTTTTCAGTTATTTTCCAGCTTTTTTGTCTATTTTACAACAAATTGCTAAATATTTGCTTTTTTCTGCAAAAATCGTTCGGCATTAAGCATTCATAAGACTCAAATTCTCTAGTTTAGTCTTAAGTTCCTCAGTTGTCAGTCTTTGCTCCTCAGCCGTCTGGACCTGTGTTGTTAGCGTGTAAACCCGGGCCATACGGTTGTCTCTGCAACARGTGTTCCTCTGACATTTGGAGGTTTGTTGTTTGTAGCAGCAGCACTTTGTGTGAAAAAGTGTTCACATCCTCCTCTCTCGRCGGCGAGGCGAGGCGACGCGGCACGCTCCGAGCTGGATGCTGAGCGGCTCTGCGTGTGCAGAGGATGTTCCACCCAGGAGGCTGTCGAATCAGTTCCTGATGTTCACTGATTAGACAGATCAAAGGTATCAGCTGTGACAGGGTCAGAGACTGAAGAGGGATGTGTGTGTATTTGTGTGTATTTSTGCGTTTGTGCTTTCAAGCAGAATACAACTGACAATAACAGGTTCAAATTTATTTCTTATTTAAAGGATCCCCCTAGAGGAACTGCTTGTTTTATTGCATTAAACATCCCAAACTTTAAAGTATTGTTTTATTTAAATGRCCTTCCTGTCAGATTTTTAGACTCAAATCATCTTGTGTTGAGGAGCGACAGACATTTTCCTCAAACCTTGAAAATACTTTCTGATATCATTCATGATCTGTTAGCCCTTGGAGCATGTGCTGGGACCTTCTCTCAGCTACAAGTACACCAAGTTTTGGCTCAATACTGTTAAAATTAACGGAGTTATATCCATTTTTGTGTGTGCTAAAGTCACGTATCTTTGGCGGCCATTTTGAAACTTAATCAGTTGTAGAGTTTCCATCAAGTGGTTACTTTCTGGACGTTTTATTAAAACCTATTCAGGGGTTCCTTTCAATTACCAAAAAGCCAAAACCAACAAAGTTCTAGCCAGAAGATGAGCTAAATGCAGCAGAAACAATACAGTAGCTAGAAGCTACAATTAGCAAAAGGCTAGTTAATGTGGCAAACTGCTTGCTTAAAGCTTAAAGTCACAAACAGTTTCATGTTGATGTGGCTTTATGTCCAAACTTAATCAGTTGTAGAGTTTTCATCCATTGGTTCAGGAGATATTTTGCTAACAGTGCAGACAAAAACATTAAGGTTAGCGGTTAATGAAGTATCATAAATGCTACATTTTGATTTTTTTTCATATATTCTCTCATTTAATGGCCCAAATTTTAAACAATTTGAGTTTTTCTATATCAAAAGAAAAATCACTTTTCCTTTCATTTATTATTGATTTACAATCTGTGTATTTCTCTAAAACAATCAAATAATGTGAAATATATTTTTTAAAGTTATCAATGGTGAAAAATAAAAAACACAATGAATTTTCAGTTAGATCAGCACGTTTTCCACAGCGATGCAGAAATCTGAAGGTAATTGAAAGGAGCCTCATCATTTTTCAAATCTGTGGATTAAGCTGCAGTTCAGGCGTCAGACAGAGACGCTGTGAACCCCTCCAGCATCGCAGCGAACGGCTGCTGTGATAAGAAAGCTGTTGATCAAGGTCTTGAATGAAAATCGCACTGCATTAAATCCAGATTACTGCACCCGCGAGGCACCGAGGGCCAGAAACAAACCACTTCCTGTTTCTTTTCACCTGAGCAACATCATCTAAACGTGATCTCATCGTTTCGTCTTCACTCTGTTATAAAACACGTTTCTGAGCAGAGAAAACTTTAATAACTGAGCTCGTCTTCTGGATACCAAAGTGAAGTGTTTGTCTCTAATTACCTTAAATTATTGTTTCACAAAATCATAAAACAGAAATGTGAGTTCATTGGAACTAAAAAGCTTTTAAAACGAAGCAGGAATGTGTGAAAATAGCAGTGGTGTTCTACATCATCATCATCATCATGTGATACTTAACGTCAGATAAACGTCAAATAAAAAGTCTTATATAATTTCAAAATGCTCAGAAGGGATAAAAGTACCGTTATAGAGGAAAGTACTTTGGAAGTTTTAAAACTGAGGGACAGAAAATTACATCTGATGGAAAATAAGTTAAACAATGACTGAACTGTGTTCCTTTCTTTCAGCTGAAAACTCAAATCATTTGTAAAAAATATTAGTTATAGATGTTCAAAGATGTCAATCGGTTACATGGTCACTTTCAGCCAAAATGTTAACTCTGTTAAAAATTTTAAGGCTTAACGGTCTATTTTTGGATGTCAATAATGGTAGAAAACACTGAAAAATAAGTAATACTCACCAGTTTGGATGCTTTTTCTTAATATACTTTAGGAAAAACTGCAAAAAAAATTCAACTACAGTTAATTACTGTAAGTTAACTATAATAACTATTATTAGTTATAAAAAAAAAACTAAAAATGTCAATGACTTAGTCAACAGTGGACGTGGATGAAAGCATTTCTGTGCTAACGAATCATGTGACCTGTAATACTGCATGACATTGTGTAAAATGTTTTTTTTCAAGGCTTCACAAAATATCTGCAACGCAGCTGGATGATGTTCATTAAAACTGGGCTTTTATTTTGAAGAAATCACAACCAGCTGTAGTTTACCAGTAAATAGTCTGGTCCGCTTTTAAAGGTGAGGCTTTTTTTGGTGGATTTTCTTCCTTTTTGGATAAAACTTTTAGTTTCTTTTTCAGGTTTTAGAGACAGATGTGTGGCGTTGAGCATTTTTTAATAAAGATAAATAAAATGTCGGTTAAGGGAGACCTATTTAATCCTTCTTTTTCACAGTTAAATCATCAACTTTGTTCTGAATTCCTACTTATTGTAACTTTACAAGCCCCGCCCCTTTTCTGAGATGTGCAAAATCCAAAAGAGGAGCTTTATACGTAAACAGAATATAAAGGTATCTATGCAGCAGTGGGAGACACTAAACTCAACTTTTCTGCTTCCTAGAGACTCTGTCAACTAAATGTATTTAACATATAAAAAAGTGGATTTTGAATGTCACGTCCCCTTTAAAGCTAAAAAAATAAGCTAATCCGCGCCACACATTTCCTGTTCAACTCTGCAGTAAAGACTCTTTCAGTTGGACGACAGGTCACCGTTTGCCTCGCCATTGTTTCCAGGTAATGATGTCACGCCTGAAAAGCACGGCGACCTTTGACCCCTGTGGATGAGGTGACGGGTCGTGAACGTCTGACCGGTGTCATGTGTGCATGTGAGCGCTCAGAAATCCTCAGCTGCCTCTCTCGTGTCTCTCCTCTCCAAACAATAGATTCTTGTTTCCTCCCGACGTGCCGCTCCTCTCCTCTCCTCCCCGCCGCGCCGCACATCTGCATCCTCCGCCGTCCTCCTCCGGCCCTCCGTAACCTCCTCCCTCCAGGCGTGACCTGGAGCGTATCCGTGCCGCGGCCTTCGTCATCTGGGATCGTGCACGCGTTCCCCCCCCCCCCCACCCCGGGTGGAGGGTGGGAAACCTG